TCATGGAAATGTTCATAAAAATTAGTTTCGACCATTCAATAGATATTGACTGTTCAACATGGGGGTGTCGGATGCTTACTGCCGTCTGTGAGCAGCTATTGTATTTCAGTATTTATGATACTGTTGTGGCTGATAAACAACAATGTTGAGACCTAGAGATGTAGAGCAAGGGTTGGCAAACCTTTGTCGCTCGCGAGCCAAAATTAAGGGTTGCAAGTCATTGGCGGGCCGCATATATTTGTTGTTGGAAACCGAAACCGAACGGATGATATTTTTATATTAAAAATCAAGCAGTGATACAGTTCTCAAAATAAATATAGATTTCCTCATTACATTGCATCTCAAAAAATTCCATTAGAATATTTTCGGCGCCATTGAACCCTTTGCACTTAGCATCAACTTTTCTGCGTTTTGTTGCCGTTTTTTCTAATTATAATTAAATTATAGGCTCATTAGACGAGTAATTGCAAATTTTATGCTAAATTATAATATAATTTAGTCTACCCCTGATGTAGAGCCTAACAACCAATTGTATTGTGCTGCCTACTCCATGATTGGAAAAAAATTCAAGAATTTTCGACGAACCCAGCTCAGAATTACCCCCCCTCTGAATTATCAAAGACAAGTGTGTTTCAAGCAAATTATTTACATGAACATATAAAGTGACACAGCTTTGGAATACTAACAGTGTAGTGGTGTTTTGAATATGGAGAAACATGGAATGAAAATTTTTTGAATATGAAAAACATAGACTGAAAAATTATGTACACTTATATGAATCAAAAACATAATGCAGAAAACGTACACTGGAAACTACCTTTTTTTATTCCCGCACCCTGAGTTAGGCAATATTATTCACATCTTCACCCTATATTTTTTCTGTACATTCTCTTGACCTATATATACGATTTGGCAAATAATGAGAGAGTGACTTCCCTCAAACTAATATGACACGAAAGCCAAGTCAAAAATTCGATATTCCTCCTTAACCATAATCTGGCTTTAATGAACATTAGAGTAGATGTCAGCCCACAGGCCAGATGTATTGTATTCAATTGATACAAGGAATGTTAAATTCAACTCAAACAATATAATAGAATCAAAACATAAATAACTCTTTTGAAACTAAAACATCAACTTAAACAAACAACTGTAATCATGAATTTATAGAAGTATACTTCATTTTAGTTTGTATAATCTACTCGTGAGGAAGGTTGTCATAAAAATGATGACAGTCAATTGGCATAATTGATTTCATTTCATGAAGATTATTAAATTTCCTTGCACAAACTGGAATACGAGATCTGAACATTGGCACCCATTGACTTTGAGTGCTACACGGTGTGGTAGCGCTTTCCAAATTACTTTCTCAAACGAAAGCTTGTAACGAATACTACCATCACTTTCGTACTTCAGGACACGCAAATCATGCACTCTGAGATCTCCTACTCTTTTTCCGGGTCTAATGCTTTGAAGGAATAATTGATTCATTCTTTTGAAATCAGTGTGCTTCATTTGGCGAACATGATAGGGTGATGGATTGATTCTTGCGGATTCCATAAGTACGATCAAATCTCTTTCAGAAAAAATGTCGCCTACGATCTTTCGTTCAATGACGCTGTGCATCGAGTCACAATCCATTTGTGTATGTCCAGCCACCAAAATTTTTTGCTCTATATCTATGTTGTAAGTTCTTGCCAGACTAGAATATGCATTCGCTACCGTGCTGTTCCTATTTTAGTAACCACATCCATCGCTCCAAACTATGATATGCTTCAGCTCGGGATTATTACAAATGATTCGATTAAAATTTTCAAACTGCAAGTAAGCAAATACTTCACTAGAAAGATTGCCTTCAGTTTCATTCCAGACGTAACAGTAACCTGCTTTTGATTTCGTATCATATAAAGTGAAATTGTGTACCTGTAGCTTAGTTCTGTAATATGAGGTAGCCTACTAGCTCTCGTTCTAGGTCTTCTAGGACATAAAAGCACGGCCTGTAGATCCATCGTCCAAACGGATTTATTTGCACTTGCAGAATCTTTGTCGGGTATCTTTTCTTTTCTAGCATCATCCTTCAGTTTGATATGCAAGCTATACTCAACTGTACTCATGTTACCATGTTTGTAACCTACACACTTATCACATTAATTCTTTCGAGGAATGAAAACTGAGGATATATTTATATCTGGGGAAAATCTCGTTGAAATAAGCTTCACTAACGACCCTCCTGTTTTCCTCCTCTGCAACATTTTGGTAATGTCTGTGGAGGGCAGATATTGTGGTGTCTAGATACAAAAATTTTATGTTTCTGTAACTTGGCAATTTTCTGCAATAATGCGAGTCTACAGTTGGTAGTGTGCTGAGCCACTCTTTTATAAACTCTCTATCCCTTCCCCTTCTTTTTGCACACTTTCCCTTTTCGGACCTGCTTGAACAACAGCTGTTTGGTTAGAAGAGGTTTTATAATTTGATGAACATAGCAAGTCTTTGATCTTCATCTACAACGTTACACTGGCGAGTTTTGACCTTGCGACAGAATGCAGATCTACATAATGGCCCTGGTTGACGATTGGGCACATTCTTTCCTTTCCAGTTTCTACATGATTTTCCACGGAGGCGCCTAATTTTTTATTATTTTGTTTCCATTTATCGTGCACTGGTCTCTTTTCTCGGTTAGGTGAAGGCTCGTCATAGGTTTTAATAGTGCCATATGATCTTGTAGAGTCCTCAATGGTACTGTCCGAGATACTCGTCGTGTCCAGATTATCGAGACTTACATCAATATCCAGTATTTCGTGAAACGGTAAACAGCCACTTTCACTATATAAATATGCATTGGAATCCCCCTCGCAACCATCGAGCTGAAGCTCTATAAAACTTCCAACTTCATTCACCTCATCTGTGAAAATTAAATACTAATACATATGAAGATCGTTCGCTACTATCGCCGTATAAATTCGCATTTTTTGGAGTTCAATACCTCACCACGTGTGACACTATCATTTGCAGAAGCAGTTCCAAGTAGAGCATAGTTTCTCAGCTTCCTGAACTCCATACTGGTAATATTTGATTACTACAATTACTTGCCGCTAGCGTCCAGATGTTGAAATATATATTATAGTACACCCACTTGAACCAGAAAGCACTTTCCTATTTGTCGTATTCCACCACTGTGTGGTACAATTCGAAGCATGGATCAACGTGTAAGAACACGTTGCAGATGGGGCAATGATATTGAGTCCAATTTCTGTTTTTAGTGCCGGTACCAGCTCCCTCCTCTTGTCTCTTCGATCGATCTTTCTTACTACAAACATGGCAACTTCTTTGCACATGTTGTCTTCCAGCACCAGCAGCATTCAATTTTGGGAAGTGGCGCCCGGATAGTCTGACGTGTGATGCAACTTGATGACTTTGGCTCGTTGTTACAGAATGTGCTTCACAAGTGAGCTTATAGATTACTTCTTCAAATATTCCAGAAGATTCAATCCTTTCAAATCGTTGTTTGTTTGAGCTGCCATAGTATAAAGTTTGTGCTAGTTCACAACAGTGAGATTAAAAAATGGAAAAAAAGTTTCTTCCACCATTTTTTTTGTTTTTCGCTCAAAACTGTAGTGTAAGACATTTGTTTTTCGACCAAACTGTAGACAAAATCTGGTCCGACTTATCAACACCATCCATGTTGTCATTATATTCCTGATCAGCGACAGGCTTTACTTTATCTTCATATCACCCAGGCCCACGAAATTGAACTGTTTTAGTGTCGTTTATATTTTTTGTGGAAAGCATAAGTACATCACGCTTGTCTTTCCACTTCAAAACAAGCAGTGGGCCTTTTCTGGAAGACACTATCCCCCTTTTTCGAATTGTTTTTGAATGGTACTTCTTGGTAGGCCACGCCTATCAATTCGGCATGTACCGACCGCGACAGTTTTTTTTCTGTATAACTCAGCAAACAGTTTGGGTGATGTATAATATCTATCAGTATACACTTCATGGCCGACACCTAAATAATTCCTAATGAGATGCATCACAATCGCAGGTGTTGAACTCATTGCTGACTTTTCCTGTTGCAATCTTGAATCCCAAACAATATCTAGTTTCATTAGTTCATAAATTTTTATTCCCCATTTTTTTGGCTTCTTCAGCAAGTAAGATCGGAATCTTACTTTGCCTCTGAAAGGACATGTTCGTTCGTCCAAACTTAGGGCTTTTCCAGGACTGTATAAACTTTCAAATTTTCTTTTAAAAGTATTAGAAATGGAAGAATTTTATGGAGCGGATTCTGACCAATTTGTTGTATGGCCCCCATTGTGTGTTCTCATTGAGGTGAAAAATGTCAATATGGACAAAATCGATCTCTAGGCATCAGACCTGAACAAAAACTGGAGACCTAGGTTGGCCTTTTTGACCAGTAGCTCTTCAGCAGTGGCTTTTTTACCAGTCCCATAGCCAATATGATGACAAGGAAGGCTTTTATTTCACTCACTGTCACTGGTTTCCATTTACTGATATATTTCGTGTGGTCGAACTATCTCCAATTCTTATCTTCTCTTGTACCGCCTACAAGTTGGTTTGGGATGTGATGTTATCCCAAAAATCATTGTCCAAAAATTGAAATAGAACCGATAATGAAAAGATTGGTTCTTTCAGGGATGGCGAGACTGACCTGTGAATGGAATAGGTTGTGGAGGATGTCCGTATTCATTCTCATCCCAAACTGGCGATGGCGATCTTGGGGAAGATGGCAATGGACTTGAAACTGGAGGGGTTGGCGTTGTGGCTGGTGACATTTGAATCGGTGAAGTTTGTTGATTTCGAGGACTTCTAGACATCCTAGGACGACCACGTCGTCATCTTCTTGAAGAGGGCCTTCCTACACGTGGTCTATTTGTGGATGTTGAAGGAATGTCTGAAGAAGTCTGGATCGTGGGATAATTGAATTGCAGCTGTGGGCTCTGTTGCTATTCAACATTTGCATAGGATGCGGGCCGAATGGGTTGAAGCGTTGTCAACTCTTCATCTGAGTCGATGAAAACGGCTGAGCAAATAAATCCAATCCTAAATTTGTTGCTGGTCCCATCGAGATTGGGGTGGTGGATACAGATGAAAAATACGTATAAGGCTGAACCTCTTGGCCCTAGATATGAGTATAAGTTTATTTCGACTCCATAATCAGCAATAGACGATAAAATGATTGATAAAACAAAATAATTAAATAAAACTGATTATAGAATCGGGAAAGCGAACGAAACCTCAAGTAAGGTTTAAAGCGTGATAATTGATTGATAAAAGAAGTAGTACGTGTTCACTCACCCAGAAGGTCATCATAATGAGATTCCTCGTCTTCACTGGAGAAATTATCGACGCCTCACTCCCACTGTTAATTTCTGCTTCATATTTCTGAAACTCTCCCTCCATTTTAATACAACAGATTTGGTACAACAGATATATTTTTATGCGACTAATCTTGCTCAAAGCACAAAGAAGTAACAAAGTATTGATTAGCGAAAACGCCCTCATCAGCAAAACGCTGAAAGTCGTAAAGCGGTGCATGATCGCGTGCTCCCAATCAAACATCGTCTGAAGAATTCGCAACATAAATGAATCGAATTCGCGTGAATCGGATACACCAATCGTTAATTATATATTATACCCAAAAAATAAAAGATTAGAAAATTACTTTGTCCTTGAGACATTAAAGCCGATTCTTTTTCTTTCCTGATTTTTTTTCTATTTGTTTATTTGTTTATTATCACAAAGAGAGCAACGTATATCTCCCGCATCGCACAACACGTCGTAAACTACATCCAGCTGTGCGTTTTTCGAGATAATCATAAAGTGTTCCCCATTGGTATAATTTTGACGTAATCATTACGTCATACTCTCAAAATTAAATATGGTATTTTCTACAATACGCTACCATAAATGTAATCAAATAGTATCAGTCATTCACATCTGAATTATAATCACAATTGCCCACAATCTGATAGTCATGAGTCAAGGGGAACACAAAAATCGACATCGCCTGTTCACCCATGCCTGCCTGGGTCAAGTGTAACTGAGGTATTGTCGGCAATTTCGTGTCGGTCAACTATACCACATTTATTCATATATTACCCCAACTCGTAGATAGACCCTCATTTTGCGGATGAAATAGGATAGGGTTACCATATTTGAAAAAGCGAAATTCTAGACAGTGCACAACCTATACTATGTTCAGGTTGTGCGCCATCTTGGTGCACATACTTCAGGAGCTCCGTATTTTCATGAGACCATATATATGCGCTACCCAAAATGCTAAGGCTGCAAACGCTCTACGATACTCATTCTAAAGCGCCAGCTACCGAAATGAAGAGTATTGTCTTCGGTCACAAGCAGAATCTCACACCAGGCGGCGTGAGCATTCACTATATATAGCTCTAAATAAATCTCAATTTCAGAGTGGAAAATAATAATGAGAATTACGTTGTGCCGGAATAGAAGATCAGCAATTACATGCTTAAAACAAATTACAGACACGCTTGTATGTTAAGTCACTACAAATTCACTCTTTCTGACCATGCATATGTTTCTGGAGATCTAATTCTCTTCAATAGGGCATTCCCAGTTGTCTCCTGCAAATGCCACGCACTTTTTCAAAAAGCATTTTTTCTAAGGTGTCTTTTGCATAAGTTGCAATTGTGTCGGCAGTCTCGTTTGCCTTGTTGGTTGTAAAATCAATCAATTTTGATTGCAAACCACCTTTTCCTCCAGTCAAAATATTGAATACATAATTGTAACTATGATCGCCGATGTCATATTCATTAGGTGTGTATGACGTAGTAACAGTTGATGTCGAAAAAAAGACATGGAGTTACAGCAATAATGATAGTACAAATGTTATGGAGAACGACGGCAATGACAGCCCTACTTAGTTTGAATTCGTCGGATTCGTCATTTAGTAGAGGTTGGTAATTATATATGAATAGCGTAAATAAAACAGAAAATAGCGCAATTTGAATTTGTCCCATTAATCAGTAGGAAAAACACTTGGAGCTACATACAGAATCAGCTGTGTCTATCATTTCAAAAATGTTTACGGATTTATTCCGTTTTGAATAATACAAAAGTTTACTTGAAACCCTATTCCGGGGATAAGATATATCCATTTGAGCGACTTTTAAGTTCAAATGTAAATATTGATGGCTAGTTGCAAATCCATATTGCTAACGTAACGAGCACAGCGACGAGGTCCTATTTTGACTGGCTGCCATTAAATTCAGTTGGACTGATTAAAGATTTTCGGACCTCCAGAAGTATGCGCTCCAAGATGGCGCACATCCTGAACTCAGGTTGTGTACTAGGTTAGGGTTCAGGTAATGCGACATCTTGGTGCGCATACTTCAGGGGAAGTACCAGATTTTCACTATACGTGAGGGTAACGTAACCAGTTCTACCGAAACCACAACTCGATTGAAGATTTAATTAGAAAAATACAGTGGTGTATATTCTGATAAACTTGGGCTGCATAAAAGGGACAAAATCCGAAACTGGTTTTGAAAAAGGGCGTCACACCTAAATTCTTTACCTTGTATGCATGTACCCTTTGCGGCATAAAATCGAAGCGGCTTTGGAAAAGGCTTGGACGCCATGGTATAATTACACAAAAATCATGTTTAATGAGGGGCTACTCCAATAGTTCCGATTCTCAAAAAGGACTATAAATTAAGACTTTGCGCTAATTTAAAGCGACTGTGAATCCTGTTTTTTGTGTAGATCAAAATCCATTACCAACAATAGATAACCTTTTCACAGGAGGACAAGACTTCAGCAAACTAGATTGAAACAAGCTTATTTGCAAATGGGGGTTAGAGAGGAGTCGAAGGAAGAATTGAGGGTAATAACACTGAGCACTTGGACAGTATTGAAAACTTCCCATGCGTCTGCAAAAGTTAAACAGCGTTAAATTTGTGGATACAGAGTTGATTGTAATGGGCTCCCCTAAACGGGATACCAAAATTAAAGCCATTCGTGACGCTCCTGGGTCGGAAAACGTCAGTTAAGTGAAATCGTTTAATGGCATAGTTTATCAATATCAAAAATTCATTCCGAATTTGTCATCATATGTTCAGGTTTTTAACTTTGGATTTTATTCGTTTTCCCGAGTTTCCGTGTATCAATTGTACCTTTTTGCGTATAGATATGCCATCCAATAAAATCTATACGCCAGGAGTTATAATTTGACTGACGAAATATAAAAGCCGTTGAAATGGAATTCCACGGAGAGTAGATGCCGATTTCTTTTTTCATTTATTTGCCATACCCTCTGTATCTGAAACATTGCTATCGACTTCGACTATTAGACTTGGACATTGGACGGTGGATACTTCTCGCAAAAAAGGCCCAAATTTTACATGCTTGTTTGTATTGGTAGCAGTGACCAAACCTCAATATTTTAATGGTTAGGTAACAATTAAAAAAAAATTGTTCAGGTAGATTTTCAATCATGTTTGTAAGCATCGACTCGTCTTCATACTTTCGAATGCTATTCATCAGTTTTTAGTTATGTTTCAAAAACTTAGGTGTAAACGAAACAGCTTACTGGTAGCTTCATCGCTGGGAAAGCTTGGAAAGACTAATAATGCATCCGCTGTGGCCGATCTCGTGTGTAAAGTTTGTACCTGAAATTTAGAGCAAGATTAACCTTGGTTTCTATTTCTGAAACCCGGCAATTAGCGAGAAATTGGAATTTATATCTTGCGTAACCGCCCATACATTTCGATCAATAAATCAGGGGTAGGGAAAATTGACTGTCCACTATCTTCGAAGTTTTTCTTTCTATTAATCTCGCACATTGCACAAATTATTAGCCTTTGCATGCTATTTTGTCCAATTCTTTATTTGGGTAATACGAGTTCAACTGAGATCACCAGGGGTCAAAAGGTCACGAAAATCTTAGGGGAAAATCGACTCAAATATCAATACAGGGGAGGTCGCTACGCTACCCGCTAGGGGAAATGTATAGAAATATTTTTAGTAAGTTAAGAAGCAGATGTTTGTTTGGAGTTTGTTGGAGGACACGGGTCGCTGCGCCGGACGAATGACGGAAATTTGTCCGGCGCTCTGCCCCCGACCCTTCTAGTCCACTAAGAAGTTCAAATACCACATAATAAACTGATCACCCCTAACTAGAGTCGAATTTTTTCCAATTTTAAGGTCCGTGATCACTCCACCATGACGAATTTTTTTTGACATAAACTAGACCTCAACTACCTTGTATGACCCAAAAATGGCATCTCTGCCTTTTACCATTCTCGAGATATAACATAAAATCACTGGAGCGTGACTGAGGAGCTGGAGAATTTTTTTTTTTTTAAAATGGATTCAAATAATTTTTCTAAACATGCCCATGCCTTTACTTTATTAATAAGTTCCTTCAGAGGCCTGCAATAAGCCAAAATCACTAAAGCGTGACTGGGGAGTAGGAGAAAAAAAATTTCTTCAAAAAAATGTTGAACTAAATTTTCCAACGATACCTATCTATTTTATTTCTCAATAGCTCCATTTTTAAGTGCGCAACCTTCTTACGCCACTGGAGGGCGATTGGGAAGGGGAAACACCGATTTTTCGGTAAAGAAAACTTCAATCAGTTATACTCTTTGAGAATTAAGCAAATCTTTGCCCAAAACCCCATTCATATGCCTCAGAATTGCCTAAAAACAATAGAACCTAAGTGAGCGTGGTTTTGCACGAGTTTTCTCACCACAGAGGGCGTGGGGGCAGTGCCCCCGCACCCAATTATACTTGGAAAAATTCCCAAGGCTCGGACAAACGCTTCCCGACCCTGGAAACGAAGCTAAACGGCCTTTAACCCCCAAAATCACTTTAGCGTGACTGACTGACAGCTTGACTGGCCAATGACAGGCCCCAGACCCTTAAAAGCCCGTTTTGGCCCATTTACTATGGCCTGACCATCAAGACTAATGACATCCTTTTCACGGGTAATGATGTCAAATTTTATTTTAAAACTAAATAAAAAGACAAATATAATATACACAAAAAAGATATGTCTGAGTCGGGTATGTTAGGATTTCGGGTATGTCGAATATGGCAACCTTCGAATATAGTTTTTCGTGGCAAGAATATCGAATATGACGCACACATCTTAGTGCCGCCGTCCACGTTTTGATTGAATAAATTATCTTCCATGCCATCGTCCCCGTTTGTTTCCCGCGGGCCGCGAATACGTACAATGTGTTGCTAGCGAAATTTAGTGAGAAAACGATGATACGCGTAACATTTAAAACAAAAGCTAATGAAATAAAAAAAATTATCATGTGTGCGTGTGCTCATTTCGTACGTTACGTTCCCTATCCGCTGTCAATTTTTGCCCTTCCTCCAACCGCCGTCCTCCCACCTACGAAGGGATTCCGGAACGAATCAATTTTGTAGGTTGCAAGCACAAAAAATATTTTTTTTTCATTATTGATCTTACGGCATTGCTAGAGTTCCTTGCAGAAATGTTGAGTTGAAACGCAAACATTTCTAAAGAAAACTGCTATTCAAATTTATTGTCACGCCTACTTTAACGAATTCAATGATAAACACGTTTTTATAACATTGTGCAATTTGCAACAGGATTTTGCTAGCTAGTTTTGCTAATATGACGCTGGTATGCTTGCGACGCAAAGAGATTAAATTACTCGAACGTACCAGATTAACTAAACTGAAAACTCGTTTCGCTGATACAACATTCATAATTGGCACTTATCCGCGCGTCGCACAATATTTCTTTGCGGGCGCAGTTCACACACACCTTAAATAAAGAAATATTCTTTTCATAATTCCCTCGTGATAAAATAATTTTTCACAATAGCAACCAATTTGATCGTCACCTAAATTGAGCATGTGACAACAAAATTGTCTAACATGGACGAAGGCATTAACCTGAAATATGATCATGGTGCGGGTTGCGCACGATAGCTTTTCGGTAGTTTATTGATGTTACGATAATATTGTCAACATGAGAGTCACAAAGTATCTATCGTTTTCATTATGTAGAACCACAAAATATAATTTGAAATGGCGAATTATGTATAAAATTGCTCAGTTTAAAACTACAAAGTATGGGAATTACAGTCGAAGTTGTCAAAACATACCCTCGGGTAAATGTGAAGAACGCACGTCGAGGAATTGTGATTAAAAAAAATGAATAATTATGAAATAGTAGTCAATTTTATGGCATCGTTGTCACGATAGAAAAAGTGCGCATTATTCTAATTTACCATGTTAGTTATATCTGACTATAAATTGTTAAAGTAGTTAAATAAAAAGTTTTTAGAATAGTTCGAACATTGCGGGCATTGCCCTAGATTTTCACGTTATTAAGTTCCAGTTTGCTTTGTACGTTTCTGTTTGAGTGGCAATATGTAGTAAATTCCCATTGCCTCAAGTTAAAACTTAAAAAAACTCTAAAAAAGATAGATTAGCATTTTTTTTATTTACCTCCCAGGTTCAATCAAATCCACTATGTATAAAAACACGGATGTAATCTATACGTGTTTGTTTTTGGTTACTCTGGGCCTTTCACGGACTTGTAACAGCAAGAAAGTTGTGATCATCGGCGCAGGAGTAAGTGGATTATCTGCTGCTCGGGTTTTATTTGAAAATGGCCAGTCTGATGTAACTATTCTCGAGGCAACTGACCGCATTGGAGGCCGAATATTTACAACAGAGTTCAAAGGTCATATGTATGAACGTGGAGCTCAGTGGATTCATGGCGCCGAGGGAAATCCTGTTTATGAGGTTAGTTCCGGAGCAAATGATTAAAGTGCATTATTGAAAACAACTGTATCAGTTAGCCTTAATTTTCCTTCGTTCCTTGTTCTCCTCATAAATAATACTCTATGTCACCCACTGTATTCCTCATCCATTTTCCCACCTCAATGGTTCTATGGCCTTATGACTTGGGATTGTCTGATTGTCATCTACTGAGAATTGGCATTTAGGGACGAATCTGTATTTTAGCTAAACTTTTGCGATTTCTCTTCTCCATTTTGATCTGAGCAAATTATTAACAAAACAACGTCATTGGTAATTCTTAACAGTACCTATCTGAAGATACAAATCTCGAAATAGAGAGTTGGCCTCGCTACTCTCCACCAAAAGACTCCGAATTTCAGTACTACAGTGGGAGACCGTTGACTTCAGCTACTAAAGACTTATTCTGGAATTCGTCAAGTATATATAACTTATTATTACTATTATTTTGTGATACAACGTAAATTTGACCAGCCTTGAAGCAAACAATTACTACTTTTAATGCCTAACTGCACATATTTCATGCAGTCAATAGAGTATTTTGCGAAGATAACATGAAGATTGGACAATTATCAATAGCTTGACTATTTCGATTGGGGTTTCATATCACGTACCGTAACGTGTCAGACAAACTATAACTCAAAAAATGTAATACAATGAAAAGTTTCCAACAATTTAGAAGTCGAGATGTTAATCAAGTACGTCATAATATCTTGAAATTATCAATAGATCTAATTGTAGTCATTAGTTGTCAAAATGTTAAAATATATAGCCTAAGTCATGGTGTATCCATTGCAATGTATATATTTTTTCAATTTTAACCACAATGTATTTACAGAACTTATCGATTATATCGAGTTAGAAATCGAGCGACTCATTGAATCGGTAGGAAAAAGTGAGGAGGAAGTGGCAAATCTATTACTAGGAAACCTGGCAAGAAAAATGTGGAGAAAAATATTTTCAGACTCTATAGAAAACTTGGACTAAAAGAAGAAGAGATTAACCCCGTTCTTAAAAACAAATTTGGAGTACTAGAGGTCACTGACGGAGACCATCCCAATGTTGTTAATCACCTAGCATGGTACCAATATGAGGAGTATGGTGACAACGATGTAAAAGTTTTGAATGGATACATAAGTTTGCCAACAAAATTGAGTAAAAATATTCCAAAAAGTGCAATCAAGTTGAATAGCAAAGTTCAAGGTATACAGTGGAACAAGAAAAAAGGAAATGGAGTCACGATAACGTATCTAAATCAATTTAACAAGACTGAAGTAATTCACGCTGATATCGTACTCGTGACGGTTTCGATCGGCTGTCTCAAAAATATCACAAAACTTTCTTTGATCCAAATTTACCGGAGGATAAACAGGCCGCTATAAAGAGCATAGGTTTTGGCACAATCAATAAAATGCTGCTTTATTACGAAAATCCTTTTTGGGGCCCCGAAAAATTTTCTGATAGGTATCTTTTATGGGATTCGTACGATGGATCAACTGGTACAATACCTGAAGACGAGTTTTCTATCAAAAATCATTGGTGTCGGGGTGTATATAAGATCACAAGCTACAAAACGAATTTTCTCATGCTTTGGATAAATAAAAGAATCTCAAATCGGATACGTAGAACACCTGAAAGTGAACTCAAATTGACTGTTACAAATTTGTTAAGACGATTCCTGAACAATCCGAAATTACCAGGTCCTGATGACATCATACAAACCGAATGGCACAGGGATAAATATTTTCTTGGCACCTACAGCTATCCGGCAATTGGACAAATTTCAAGTCACCAGAAAAAAGTACGAGAACCTTTATACGTTAACGGAATGCCAAGAGTTTTTTTTGCGGGAGAAGCTTTGAGTATACCGAGGTACAGCACGGTAGATGGAGCATTTTCGACAGGAAAAAGTGAAGGAGAAAGAATCCTAAAGTTATTACAAGAATGAAAGCCGGTTTATACCTTTAGCTAATCCTTACAGCGTGAAAAAAATCACAATAATCTTGTAAGCTAATCTGTGTTTGGCTAGATGTTCTGTACTAATCGGCTAATTTTTTTCAAAAGTACATTTTTGGATTCTTTTTAAAATGTTAATTTTAATGTAGATAAAAGAATATGAAGGATACACAAAACCGTGGATTATTTTTTTTCAAACAGACAGATATTTTAATGTGTAAGCCAGCAGGGGTCGGCAACCTTTTGTCGCTCGTGGGGCAAAATTATAAGTTACATGTCATTGGTGGGCAGCACATATTTTTGGAAGTTAAAAACCGAACGGATTGCCGATGAATCAAAATTTTCATACAGATCAGAAGTTACATGTTAAGCAGCGCACGAAGACTGAACATTTGAATATTTTCTGCGCAATTAAACTATTTGCACTTAGCATCAACTTTTCTGCGTTTTGTTGCCATTTGTCTAATTATAATTAAATTATAGGCTCATTAAGCGAGTAATTGTGAATTATATATATATTAGATAGGTTATAATATAATTTAGTTTACACGTGTCTTAAAATAAATTCTGTTACGTAAAGAATATAATCGTCAAAACAGCCGTTTTGTTACTATAATTCAGCGAGTCTTCGCGGGCCGTAGGTTGCCGACCCCTGGTGTAAGCCTTAGAATAGCCTTCAGTTTGTCTTAGCACAGAAGTCTAAACCAGGGTGGTTCAAGGTTGTCGGTCGGCAATTCGGGCCACAATATTTTATTTGTATTAATCGCGGGTCAAAGTGGTAAGAAAAATAGGTAATCCACGCATTCCAAGAATAGGTGAACTGTACGATATAAAACAGGCAGCGATTTTTGTGATATATACTGTTTTAAGCTGGTTACAAAAAGCAAATGCGACAGGATGTTTATTGTCAATAGTCAATTTTATTTTTTTCAACCAGCAAAAAAATAACATACAAAATCAAAAAAATAAACAAAATTTAACACACATTTTTACTGGGGAAGGAAAGCCGCGGGGAACCAAATTTGGTTATCGAGCAGCGACACCCAAGATTTTCCATCTAATTTAATTTGGAAGCTCGGAAGTTAAGTTTTAAGAATAAAATGTACAGGCTTGAAAATCCCATTCTACCGGATAACTCGTAGGGTATTCCCTGATTAACCAGCTAGACAGAGGTCTGAAATTCTGATACGTGTAAGCGGCTAGAGATAGCCTCATTGCGAACACTCAATAATAAGTAGTTTATATATAACCATAGTTTAAATAGGCGCAAACATGCAAATAGCAATGAATTATAAATAGGCCATATTACAGGGTGAAAAGCACGCGAGAAATCAGTGGTGGTTATCGAGCAGCGGCACCTATAAAATAACTCTGACACTATATTATAAATAAGAAAAAGTCGAATCAAGTATAAGTAAATTGAAAAAGAAAATGCATACAATATCTCGAGGCGATCTGCTATAATCAACAGTCGCTCGCTTCAACAAAACACGACTCCGAACACCACTAACCTAGTAACCATAAATAAACGTCGGATTCTGAAGGCGTAACACTGGCATTCAATTAGGTCGCGGTGGATATTGAAAGCAAAGAAAACAGGTAATAAAATCTTGTAGCATTAAATAGAAAGACCGAATATCTGTGGCGCTAAATTTAAATTAAACGAGATACGGTAACGTAGTACCGGTAACGGTACGGTACCGTACTCAGTGCTGGAGTGGTAATCACTCGTACAGATATACTGTATATCAATGCAGACGTGGTCCATTAAAAGAATAATTTGCGCTTTACAACAGTATGCCACGTATCGACCAGCTCGTAGAAAATAAACAAATTCAGCCATCGCATTGAATAAATTGATTGTTCTGTTGTTATTTCATTCTGTTGTTCTTCTTCATCAACCTTGGCTGATGCGGCCTAGTTTAATAGAATTTGTTCTTACATTTTTGATGGATAAAATACGCTATTATGACGTCACAACGGTGGGAAATATCGCCGCTTTTAGCGCGCGTTACTAATGAAGGTGGTACGCGGCACTCCACAAAATCTCGAAATGGTACGCGGGCGACTAAAGTTTGGGAATCGCTGAATTACAGAAATCAAATATGAACTCATTCACTACATTAAAGTAAATACAGTAATGAATGTTTGTCATATAAAGATACAAAATTTATAAATTGAGAAAGATAGTTGCAGTAAAGTAATGAAGACATAATATATTAACTATTGCAAGTATACAGTAATTACTAGGTCATTTCAGTGATTCAATAACCTTTCACAATATATTTTTTCAGGTGGTGTCATAAAAGCAGCCACGATAAAGATCTTGGTCGGGTTGTTACAAACATTCGAAGTCATAACAGCTATCGCTAGGCATAGCCAACCGAAGTAAAAAATAGAATCAACTTCTGGAAGCTCTTAGTTATTTTAGGCTGTCAAACAACTGACTTAACAATTTACTTAATTAATAATTAACAATCTAGGGCAGCCGAACACACTCTTCCAGAATCTCTTTTATCTACTGACTGTCTAAGTTGGCTTATAACCTTAGTCAATTCAATGACGTTAGTAATGTAATAAACATGTTCCGGTTATTTTTATACGAGAACAACATCAAAGTCAACATACAAATGCGACCACTAATTGCTACCGATATACCAGCAAATGAGACGCGGGTGACGAACTCCTGGCATAAAGCATGAGAGATATTGCGTGGAATTTGTTTGTAATCTAGATCCTTATCACTTTCCAGGGGACCGAACATTTAGGAATCGTTTAGTAGAATCTGTCCCATAATCGACAACTCGATGAATATTATAAACATTGCATTAATAAGCTTAGAGTGCATTGGAATATCAAAATTTCAGACATAATAGGTAAAACTGTGTGTGTTTGACCTCGGGCTAATTAGCTTCATGTGAAGTTGTTGAAAATAATCCGATTAACAAGCTCCATACCCCAAAAAATCCTTGCTTTGACTTTCATTTCCATTGCGTAACTTTATTGCCAAGTTAGTACCTGTACCAAATTCATAAGGTTAAAATTAACAGGAATGTTTATCCAAGTAAGAAAAATGATGAAACATAGCTCACGAGCCTAGAATCCAGAAGCAATTGGATTAAGAGCAGCCTTGGCCAAAACATGTTTAAGATAATGGAGGTATATAGTTAGATTGGCGACAACCTACGGGTTTAGACGATGAGACAACGTTGCTTGAGCTATGCTAATTATAATACTTCTCTGCTACAATGACGTCACAACTAATACGTTTTGACTTTATAATAAGAACTTCAAGTTTATGTATTGACATTTTTTTCCATGAAATAAAGGCATTATGACGCCTAAAACCATTCGATTAAATTAGCATACTTTTTTTAAGTTTAAAGGAATAGAGTTTTTACAAATTCAATCATTCGGCCGTATCTCAATTTTTAATTTTTTGAAGTTGACAGTGAATGTTTAGAACAATAATTATTAACCTGAATATAAAATATGATAACTATGAAGCTTTTAAACTGGCATTATTCTGAAATAAGCCTTCACAATTTAAAAAAAAACGATAAAAAAAGAAACAATATTCAAAATTTATTGTCAAGGTCCTCGAAGTTTGAGCACCCTGAGCCAACCTACCTTGCTCAATATAATATCCCGGCCCAGGTTCGAATCCAATGAGAGATGTGACAATGTGCTATAGAATTTCTGAACTTCTCGTCGTGGCAGGGTGGTTCACGCTATGGCGGATCGATTGCGTCTTCCTCTGCCTACCACGTTTGCGGGCGCATTGAAAAGGCGTGTATGGCCAAGTCATCGATATTTGTGGCGTTTCGAGGATTTATTGCAAATGAGAGGCTCCTGGCAAGTGTTTACATCAATTTTCCCGATTTAGTTTAACCAATTAAATACAAAAAATCAATTAATACAGCCGTTTTAAACAAAATAAGGAAAAAAAATTAGATTTAAAACAATTCTTTTTGAACAAATCCCTACCTAAATCTGAATTCAGATGCAAATCTTCAGATTCATATGATTAACTTAGAAAATACGCTTACATCAGTTCCAAAATAACCGTATAACTAAGATAAAGAATTTGATTCATTATTGCTTTATCATTCAAAAATTGTATATCGTGTTTCCCCAAAAATAAGACAGTGTTTTATTTCAATTTCCTTTCGACAAATATTACTAGGGCTTACAGGTTTTTATTTAAAATAACTGCTAAACATAGATTTATAAAATACTCAAAGGAAAGATTTCGCGCTATCGAATAGATCAGGGGTGGACAACCTCTGGCACGCGTGCCAAACTTGGCACGCGTGCCCATTTAATCGGCACGCGAGCGAGGCCTCGGAAACGAGATCATTCTCTTTCAGATAAAAAGTTTCGAGTCTCTCTGAATTATCTGATGAAACTATAGTTGTTCATTTATTCATTAACGTATGTTAACAATCCGTTATTTATTTGAACTCTTTTTTACCGTTCATGACATAGGGCTACAAAATAATATATTATGGCGTAACAAATGAGTGAGCTCTCGAGAAATTTTGTCGAGAAGAACGCAGCATTAATTTGGCTGCATTCTTACGCAATATAGTTCGTCTGTGCCATCCTTTTCTTCATCTCTGCCTAATTTATGAAGTTGTACAGCTCATGTTGGTTAGAGTTACTAGCTAACTCACTGTTGTAAATTGATTTCAAAATAAATATAAACGATTAGGGAGGGGAATACAAGAGAGAAGTGCAGAAAACAAAATATTGAGATGCCATTCCCGAAAAATTTTCGTGTTCTTAAAACTCTGCAACTGCATTACTCTCTATGTTTTTATCTACATATACTTGTTATTAAGTCTCGTAACAAGAGTGTAGCTTAAAAGATGAAACCAGTAGGTCGTGTATTTCTTTGAAAGTTACAAAATATAAACCCAATGTAAAATCTCAATCATCGGTAATGCAGCAGCACTTACTGATATTTTACCGAATTGTGAATTTGACCGTACGTGTTTGTTATTGCGTATTTTTGCTTTGAAAGTAGCAAAGCATTGTTTTTAGTTTTGGTCGGCACGCAAATGAATTTTGTCGTTAAAATTAGCCGAACCGGCACGCGAGCCGAAAAAGGTTACCCACTCCTGGACTAGATAAACAAACATTTGCCCTATTCACTAGGTCTTATTTTAAAGGGAAGGCTTATATTAAAATTGTTTTTGAAATTCAGTCTAGGTCTTATTTTCGGGAAAACACGATATATAAAGATAAACAGACACTTTAATCCTCTTCTAAATCCATCACGTGGTGACAAAATTGTGTAATACGAAACATTCAATACGCGCTCGTATTAGGAAAAGGCGACGAACGCCTCAAGCAAACAAAAACATAAACGGCCGCATTAACGTGAAATATGATTATGATGTACACCACAACTTTTAGTTAATTTATTGATGGTACTATAATATCGTCTTGAAGTTACGAGGTAAACTAAAGATAGGGATGGCAGCTCCGTAAAGCACCGCGGTCTTGCGGAGTTCGATAAACCCGCGCCGGCCCTCAAAAATACAAGGGAGATGGTGAAATTGTCGTTCGCGGCCGTACTCATATCCGCAGCAGGTCTCCAAGGTGAACAGCTTCTGGCCGACGGAATAAAGTAGACAAGAGAAGTCGGGGAAAGAATTGGCTTTGAGTGCTGGTACCCATATGTACACCTCGTGTTCAATACGAACACAAAACGCTAGAATTATTTTGACCTAAAGCAAAATTAGGCCGATGAGTTCCTCAGTAATATGTCATCTATGGACCATACTAATTAACGGCCAATTTTTGTAGGGTTGACTTTTGAAGATACGAGTTTCGCAATTAAGTGAGCGACAAACGCAATACATACATGCATACATTCCGGTTTCTTTTGAACTATCGTTAAAATATAGCTAATTTGATTTTCATTTGTGATTCATCTCCCAGGTTTAATCAAAGACACGATGTATAGAAAAACGAGTGTCATCTATAACTTTTTATTTTTGCTTACCCTGTTTCTTTCACAACATTGTAACTGCAAGAAAGTTGTGATCATCGGGGCAGGAGTAAGTGGCTTATCCGCTGCTCGAGTGTTATTTGAAAATGGCCAATCTGATGTTACTATTCTTGAGGCAACTGACCGTATTGGAGGTCGAATATTTACAACAGAATTCAAAGGTCATATGTATGAACGTGGAGCTCAGTGGATTCATGGAGCCGGGGAAAATCCCGTTTATAAAGTTAGTATCTCACAATCAAATATGATTGTTATCTACTGACATCTTCGTCTAAAAATAAAACCCAATTTCGCATATTCCTTTTCCATTTTTCTATTAGCATGTTTTAGGCTTCATGTTTAGATTTGAGCAAACTGTAATATTACAAAAAGAAACATTTATGGTATTTTGTTATCACAGTACCTATCTGAAGATGCAAATCTCGAAACTGAGAGTTGGGGTCGCTACTCTCAGGCAAACGACTCCGAATTTCAGTACTACAGTGGAAGGCCGTTGACTCCAATTATAAAAGATTTGATTTGGAATTCTTCAAGTACACTTCTTAATTGGCTTTTTCCATGTAAATTAATGGCAGTAGCCATTGACTACGTCTAATGCGAATTCACGCATGTTTTATGCGGTAATTAGAAAATTTCGCGAATAAGGTAAAGATTGGACAATCATTATTAATGTAAAACAAACTATTATTAAGACAATGAAAAGTTTTTACCAAGCCTGAATAGTACTGATTTAAACAAATACATCATAGTGTTTTACAATTAATAACAGATCATTCATTGCCAAAATGTTCGACTAAGTTTTCAAAATTAATAACAATGCAATATAGTTATTAATTAACCGATTTTTATTTCAATCACAATTTCTTTGTAGAACTTATGGATTATATTAATTTGGAAATTGCATCAATGGGAAAAAGTGAGAAAGAAATGGCTAATTTGCAACTAGGAAGCTTGACAAGAAAATTGTGGAGAAAATTTTTTTTCAGACACTATAGTAAACTTGGACTTACTAGAGAAGTGATCGGCCCAATTTTTATAAACGAATTTGGATTACTGGAGGTAACTGTCGGAGGTCATCCGAATATTGTAAATGACCTAGGATGGTACCAATATGAAGAGTATGGTGCCAACGACGTAAAAGTTTTGGATGGATACATGATTTTGCCTAAAAAATTGAGTAAAAATATCCCGAAAAGTGCCATCAAGTTAAATAGCAAAGTTCAAAGTATAAAGTGGAATAAGAAAAATGAAAGTGGTGTCGCGATAACGTATGTGAATCAATTTAATAAGACTGAAGTAATTCACGCTGATATCGTACTCATGACGGTTTCGATCGGCTGTCTGAAAAAATATCACAAAACTCTCTTTGATCCAAATTTGTCGGTAAAAAAACAATCTGCAATACAGAGGATCGGTTTTGGTGCTATCAACAAAATGTTGTTGTTTTACGGAAATCCATTTTGGGGCCCAGAAAAATTTTCTGAAAGGTATCTGTTATGGGATTCGTACGATGAATTAACTACTACGTTATCCGAAGACGAATTTTCTGTTAAAAATCATTGGTGTCGTGGCGTATATAAAATCACAAGCTACAAAACGAATTTTCTCATGATGTGGATAACTAAAAAGACCTCGAATCGGATACGTAGAACGCCTGAAAGTGAACTCAAATTGACTGTTACAAACTTGTTACGACGATTTCTGAACAATCCAAAATTACCAGGTCCTGATGATATCATAACCACCGAATGGCACCGGGATACAAATTTTCTTGGCACTTACAGCTATCCGACAATTGGACAAATGCCAAGCCACCAGAAAAAAATACGAGAACCTCTATACGTTAACGACATGCCACGAGTATTTTTTGCAGGAGAAGCGTTGAGTGTATCAAGGTACGGCACGGTGGATGGAGCATTCTCGACAGGAAAAAGTGAAGGAGAAAGAATCTTAAAGTTTATACATGAATGAAACTCCGGTTTATACTTTGGATTAAAATAATCTTCGATTTTCTGTTCGTTGTTAGGATAATCGCATGTCTATTACCTAATTACAATATGCTCAAAACAATTTGTTCGGGTTATAAACTATATTGAAATCATACTAGGGAATGCATGGGCTTTATCTATATTGTATGGATAGTTATTGTATTCAAAAAGCCGAATATTATCGGCATTGAATTAGGAAACATGAGAAGCATTGAAATAGGATATTGTAAGAAAAACCGTGTTTTCACCTCAGGCTAACTAACATCGTATGAAGTTGATTAAAATGAGTTTTTTTTTCAATGCAATCTCAAAAACCGCTGCGGTTTCAAGAGCGATTAAACGCAAGGTAACAAAATCTTTGCAGTGAAGTACAAATGATATAAGATAACATAAAAAATATTAACACAAAAATGGCAGAACTACAAAGGGTAAAGATATTTATTGGCTCATATCAATAACTGGCTGATAGTTTACAAGAGTATGGTAACCTGCCTTGAACTTGTTTAAAACATCGAAAACAAAAAGCACGCTTTAAAGCTCTAAAATGTAATTCAAATCTTCAGATTCACATGATGTTACTGTATTTTGAAAACGGACTTTTAACAATCGTTTCTCCGTAGGAAAGAAGAGCGGCGTTTAGACTTCGAATCCGTACCGATCTGAAATCAAATTTTAAATCGGAATTCGACTCCAGAAGAGCAAAAACATGACTTCTGTCCCGATCCAGTTGATAAATTTGTTATTGGTATACTTAGTGTTCACTACTATAGAACCATTGAGAACGTGTTGCACTGATCATTTTGTGTACAAAATTATGTGATGCCAATGCATCATACGAATTGCCGGAATTACCATTAAGCAAAGAAGACGGAAGCCTACGGGCCTCGACGTTCAATTTTGTACAATTCTTTTTTTCAGGTCGTTTTTAAGTTGTAAAGGCATATTTCACAATGAAACCGATACTTGTTGTTTAAAATTGTTTAAGGTTATAATTCATTTTCCCGAATATTTACCGTTTAAAGTCCCGGTTAACAAAATAAATACGGTCGGAAAATGAATTTGTCTAAATTTGGAAAACTCAACCCCTTTGACTCTAAAAACAAAATAGGCTGATACTAATTTTTTTTCCAGTTTTTATTGTGATAACAGTTTATTGAAAATTATACAAAATTTTTTTAATATATAATTTTACTAATTTATCCAAGCAATACCGAATCTGAGAAATAATATATTTTCTGATATTTCAGATTTGTTTAATCGTAGACCCGTTTATTGAACACGAAGTGGTTACGAATGACTTGTTTTGTTATTATGTTGTTGTTCTTTATCATATAATTTTATCGTTATATGAAAAAACCTTTTTGATTACTGGACCAAATGCTTTAAAATTTTCAGTGGTTAAAGATTGTATGTTTTGCTAAAAGGCCATTACTTTTATTTATTTCAAATCTTTCTGATAGATATAGCTAAATGGGATTCGGATTTTTGTATCTTATGACGTCATCAAAATTAGAGTATTTTGTGGCGGTTCCGCGAACGCATATCAGCGGGAATCTCGTGGTCAGCGAAAGTGGGAAGTTTTTAATGGGGAAACGTAGACTGCGACACCTGATCTGCTAATACTGAAGTGACTCGGATCAGTTGCTATTTCAATTCACTGATGTGTACTGGTGAATTACCGCATATGCTTTTCGGGACGTTGCTAATAAAATATTTGGTTTTACTTTCCGTGTCCATATATTTGAGCATATCTCTCTTGTAGAAGGATTTTTTCATTGATGAAATGATAGTTTTATTCATCAGTGTTGGGCAATGCCGCCTCGAAACTAGAAACAGGTGGTATGACATCAGGTGTTTTGGCGGGATGCAGTTTTATCACAGCTTTGGGTTTCTTAAAGTGTTTTGAACTCAACTCAATATCCAATTTACTTGGGTTGAATAGCGTACGTCTTGGCTGTAACTAAAATTCCGTGTTCTACACAATTTTTTATGACGTCATATTATATTGCACGCAGTCGTAAGACTGACTTTTGCATTTTCTTTTTTATCCTTCCGATTTCTCAACCACATTAGTACTCCCAGTCGTTGATTTTTGCTTAAAGTCATTGCCAAGCCACAGAACAAAGCACCTGAAAAAAGTTCAAATCTCGGTTAACGCAGCGCGTCAACGCAAAAAATGTGTCCTCGAGAATTCGTTGCGCTGACGCATTGCGTCAAAATCCTGATTATACAGTATGGTGTTTACTACACTTTTATTTTGTTCAGAGGCACCTATGATTTTTAGTAAAGAGCAACAAATTGATAGCATGTAGCTTACGGGCACGCACATGACGTTTAAATGATCACCAATACTTCATGTCTGTGGAGATGAAGCCTACACTTACTTCTCCGGGCATGTTTTGCAGGTGAAAAGCCGCGAGGTACCTACACAGTTTGCAAGAAAATAATCGTGACCTAACTTTCAAGCGTTTAGGTTCTCATTATACGTGGATAGTTTCAATTATGGCACAATTGTATTTAAGCTATAGTGGACGAACATGTTTTGTTGAATCGCCATCTTCTGAATCTGTGTAATCTGAACAAGTTTTATGACCTAAAATTGATATTCTAAAATAAATGAATATTACAGCTTGAAGAGAACATTACAGATTTAGTTGTGCGTAGTCACATAAGCAAATGAAATCGACCAAATATTATTGCTTCAAATAGTAAATCAGTGAGCATGAATTGCTTGCATCATTTTGAAACCAACGTCACGTACCTGTCCTACTATCTTGATATTCTGATAAAGCAAGTGTGACCGGACTGGGGTCGTTTTATTTTTATTGTTTTATATTTTATTTGTATTTCCTGACTAGGTATTGTATATGCAGAAGTCTTGAGCTTTCATCCCGTCCACTAGTCAGATGTTGCTGTTGCTCGACTCCAACCACCCATGCGTATGTGAACTGTGCCACCGTTCGCAGCGTCACCCTTCTTGCTTTGGTTGTCGCTGAGTGAGAACACCGTATTTTGTTGCTCTGATATTTTATCTGCTTTAATCGTCTGTTTTACACTGTTTAATTGCATCATCATTCGTGTGACTTTACATCACACGGTATCTTCTGAACTAATTATTAGTGGCAACTGGCGAGCACATATTCCGCACAAGCATTTAAGAGCTGTGATCCTTTTTGTATACGAACGTACAATTTCACTCTCGTCAGAAAGATGTGAAAGCAAAAATACAAGACTACCCAAAATTAGCCCAATGACTCGCGTGCTCTCAAAATGAGATCATCATAAAGGCTACAGCACCAACAACATAATCATTGATGTGCTCGCCTTTACGTGATCGAAATATCTGTTTGTATCAGCGCCCTATATATATTTCCGTTCGCGCCGTTTTTCTCATATCCTAAAGTGGATAATTGTTCAAAATTCTTCTTTATATGAACGAGTTCGGTGCAAACGATGCAATTGCCGTCTAACAAAAATCCGATAAATCGTATTTCTCGTAAGAGGGAGGACCATTGTCAACTTAATATGCACTCAAAATACTCACAGCGATTACTCACATGGTCGCTACAACTATAGCTTCATCTGGTTAACATCTATATCGATATAACTGATTAGTAATATTTCATAAATTCAATATTTCTTTTGCATTGAAAATTTTAACAATTCACGTGAATACCATAACACTGGTTTGTGAAAATATCTGCCTCGATTTTATATCTTTACATCTTGTTTAATTCTTTATAATACCTTATATATATATAATTACGATTTGAACACTTCAAATGTGTTACATAGACGAGTGTTCCTGTAGGTGTATACGAAACAACTTACTGGTTGCTTTGTTCGCTGGGAGAGCTTTGGTGTATTTAGAAAGCGGTCTCAAAAAGTTTGGAAAGACTGAGCCAAAGTTAGGTGACCGTACTTTTTAATGCCAAATGTTTGAATATTCTGAATCAAAATGGTTGATACAAATGTTTCGTGAGCGAACTAATAAAAAATAATTTGCAATGGTGAATTTTAGGAAGAATTCCTCAGGGATCGAAGAAACATCCATTAAATTATAAATAAATAACACTACTGATTAAACAGCCCTGGCGTTTCAAACTAACAATTGTAATTTAGTCAGACTGGTCGCCCAGACAGTTTTATTGTCTATATTCAAACATGGTCGTAAGCGTTAGCTCGGTTATGAACATTTTACCCGTTCCTGCGTTATTCGTCATCTTTTATTTACGTTTATAAAATACTTTTGAAATAAATATATATATCCGATCAAATCCTCTGGTGATAACTTGATAAATATTATACACATTGAATTAAAAAGCTTAGCGTGCATTGAAACAATAAGACAGTGTTGGGGATAAGGATAAAAACTCTGTGTGTCTGACTTTGTGCAAATTAGCATTGTGTGAAGTTGTTAAAAATAGAATGAAAAACAAGTTTTATGCCCATCTCAAAAACCAGTTCGGTTCCAAGAGTTGTTGAACACGAAACAGCAAAAACTCTGTGATGCTCAACAAATGCACATAAATTATTTAACGTAAATAATAGTTCAACGTATATATATATCAACACTAGGTTCATACTGTCAAAAATGTTGGCATCACTACATATTAGTACAGTTGTGGCAAAAATTGCGCTCAATTCAGATGAAAATTATCAAACTCGTATGATCTGCTCCTTTCTGGTTAATTAAACCATGACAGATACATTTTACAAACTAACTTCGAAATCCTGTTGCCATGTAGCTGATTGATTTATTTTGAACAGTACCGTAATCTCTCGTGTACTGCTTCAATTTTACAAGTCACATTCATTTTTGTACTTTTTACATGCGGCTATGCACGACAGCAATATTTTGCTAACAGTTAAGCTCAGAATAGTTTTCTAGATTTAGATATCTTCGTTTAGCCGAGCCTAGTCGGCCAACGCCAAAGTTAAACAAACATACCGATTTTGGATTTTATTCGGGTATTTCTCTAATCTTTCTTTTTTCCGTGTGTATAAAAGCACAAAATTTTTTTTCCCATTATTGATTTTAGGGCATT